TCTTCATACTTTTCTGCTGGATGGTTAAGACCAAGGTAAAGCAGGAATATTCAAGCATTTTAATACTGATCTAATGAGAAAAGGTAATTAATTCCTACAACCAAATATTAAACATGAAGCAAAAGTTTTCTGCAGAAAGTATAACCCAAGACAGTTGTAGCAAAACAATCCTGTTTTATAAGAATAAAACAGATCACTAAGCTTACCCAAGCCCTCCTTTGCTCCTGTCCTGCTCGCTAATGCACTCAAATGCAACACTGCCAACTTACACCTCCCAAATATATCAAAGGAGTTTCACTCAATGCAACAAGTGATGGAGCTGAAAAACACTGCTGACACCAGCTTGTACAGCTAACCGGCATTTTAGTTAAGTGTTAAGACCATCAATCCAGTACTGAGATTCACAGTTTGGATATTTTTAAAAATCTACAAAGGCATCTTTTCTATTTTAAGTGTTTTTGTTTTAAATACCCATAGCCTAGGAAATTGTGTTCTGTTTAAAATGAACATACAAGGGCCGGCAAAATAGCTCAGCAGATTAAGTGCTTGCTTAGGTAAGTGCAGGGGCCAGGGTTCGATCCCTGGTACCGCATGCCATGCTGGCCCTGTCCTGGGGCATGCTGAGCCGGTGACAGAGTCCAGGCATGGTGGTGCATGCCTATAATCCCAGCACTAGAAAGACAGAAAACCATTGGAGCACTAAAGGCCAAGCTTTGTAGTGAGACCCCGCACACACACACACACACACACACACACACACAAAGCTAAAATGAACATCTATGCATGCATGCACATACATACAAAACGACCTTTGGAAATAATGTAATATCATTTCAAGATGAATGACACAAAAATAAAAGTCTATTTTTACATAGAAAGGTTTAAGTATATTTCAATTCAAAATCGATTTTCTAAAAGGGCTGGCAAGATAGCTCAGCAGACTAAGCTCAGGAACTGGGATTCAATCCCTGATACTACATGCCGCACTGGCCCTGCCCCCATGCATGCTGAACCTACCACCAAGATCACACCTGTAATCCCAGATTACAGGTGACGCACACCTGTAATCCCAGAGCTGGGGATGCTGAAAACAGGAGGATCACTACACGTCCAAGCTATGTAGTAAGGGCCTGTACCACACATAAATTAAAATAAAAAAGGATTTTCTAGAAAGTTAAATTCCATTGGCAATTTTTTACAGTAGATTCTAAAAAATAGGATAGCAAATTATAAATGTATTCAATGCCACTGAATTGTACATTCTAAAATGGTTCATTTTGTGATATGAATTTATCTCAATAAGAACAAAGGACAAAGTGACCAGTATATCTGTCTATTATTTAAAACATACAATGTTAATATGACAAAGCTACAATACAGTGAATCTAAACAAAATTCTGAATTTATCCAACTAAAACATCCCGACAATAAAGAGTCACTTATTTTTGATGAATATGTGAGATTTTCTATCAAACAATAAAAAAGAGAATGTGGAGGTGCAAGAAATTGTTGCCGAGACAAGAGGGACTGTAAAAGTCAGGAAGTTTTGAAGCTACGGATAGGTACAGAGTTTTACTATATTGCTCCTTCTATTTTGGAGTCTGTTTAAAACTATCCATGGAGAACAATTTTTTGAAATCCTATCTTCAGAATGAATCAAATCCTTGAACTGGAAACACAAGTGTGTCAAAAGTGTAAAGTGAATCACAAAATCAATGAAACTATGACCATATTTTGTTTTAAAAAACCTGACTCCTGGGGCCGTGGCAACAGCTCGGCAGTCTAAACAACTGTGTACACAAGCACAAGCACCCGGGTTTGATCCTCGTACCATGTGCCATGCTGGCCCCACCCTGGGCACCCGGAGCCAGCCGCAGAGATCGGGCGTAGTGGTGCACGCCTGTAATCCCAGCGCTGGGGAGGCTGAAACAGGAGGATCACTACAAGTCCAAGTTGTGTAGTGAGACCCTGTATCAAATACATAAAATTAAAAGAAATCTGACTTGTACCACTGTACAGTGTTTTAATGACCAAGAAAGCTGAACTATTTCTTCAGATAATTTGGAAAGACCTGCTAATCGCACATTTTATACTGGGTAACAAGTTATACTATCAGCACATACCAACAGTATCATGGGCCTTTTCCAAGTTGTTAATCCTATGATTCCAGAGAGTATCACCTGTAGGGATTAAAAAAAGTATCATCAGTTTAGAAAAAGACAAACAGACCAATTCCAAAACACAAATTCTCAAAAGTAGGAATTTTTCAAATACTGAAATTCCAAAGCATTTTACCTCCAGAATTTGGAGTACTGCTGATGAGCCACAGTAGGCCACGTTACAGGACCTTTCACTTTCAAGCGCACAAAGCGTTTTCATTGACTTGTGTTATCTTTCAATGTCAATTAAGAACGCATCAGCAGAAATTAGCCCCTCCTTCGGCTCAGAGAGGCAATTTCCAATCAAGCTCCCCGCTTCCATTAGCACTCATCCAGCCAGCCACCAGAATCACGCAGCAAGACACACACCTGCCTTCACCTCTCCCTCCTTTAGGTGGGTACCTCTGCCAGACGGGAAACTTCATCCGAATGGAAGGCTTGAGCCTTGGAAACCTCCGCTCACCCACGCCCCAGGCCTGGCTTTCCTGTCCTGCTCGCAGGCCCCGTGTGCCTTCATCCCAAGCACACCCATCCTTCCACAGTCCAGCCAGGCTCTAGACCCTCCTGGGCTATGTGCCCCTTCCTCCTTGTGACACAGCCCTCTCCTCCCGTGACTCCTGCATTCATCCTACAAGGCCTCAACTCACAGTAATGTGAGAAGCCATCACTGTTCCTACCGTCCTATACCCTGGGAAGCCCACTGTACATACCTACTAAAAACAAACTTCGCTATTGTAAGAATTTCAGGGGTGCATCTCTGCATTGTCTGCAGTACACTCTTTTCTTGTCTCTGAAACTCTAAGCTGTAAGCATAGTATCTGTCCCAGGGTCGACAACTGAGGCATGTGCATTTATTCTGCACTTGGGGAGGAGCTACATGACAAAGATATGTTGCAAAATGACACTCAAATAAACAAGTTAAAAGTTCAGTGCTGGGGAGATAGCTCAGCAGCATAAGTGCCTGCCTGGCAAGTGCAAGGTCCTGAGTTCAATCCCTGGTATGGGGAGAAAAAATAAAGAAGAACCAGCATGTTGCCAAAACATAACATGAAATCCGAAGGCAGCCTCTGGATAACACAATTCACTAAGCCACCAGGAAAAAGGAAAGTAATTGTTCACTCCAGAGAAATCCTCATGCCACCTAGGAGGGAATATTTACCTCCACGTAATGAAGATTTACCCTTGTGTGCTAAGGTGTACCGGCTGGATGCAGTGAGGAGAGTTTTCCTTCATGGGTCTGTGTCACTCACCAAAGTCCCTCCAGCGTACCAGTTTGCACTTACTATTTATGAGCTCTAAGTCAGTACGGATGTTACAGTGTCACCTCAACTTCAAAGCACACAGGCCAACTTGCAATACCCTCTGTTCTCACTGAGAGCAAATCGTTCTACAACACCAAACCATCAGAGGTCAAGTCTGCCCTCCTGCAAGAACAACAAGCAGGCCCAGCTAGGTAGTAACAAGTTCTTTGTGTCCCATCTGTGTTTACATGTGCTACTAGCGATCCGCTTACCTGGCACTATGTTCTTGCAGTCCCCTTCATTCCAATAGGACATGGCCTCCTCCTTGCCAGTTTCTACCTGGAGACACTCTGGCACGTGTAGCTCACCTGCCTGGGTGTGGGGGTTGTGTCTGCTTTACACACTGGACCCTCAATTCATGACACCCGGGGCTGCAGGCCCTCACACAGCTTTCAAAGGACCAGGGACGTGCCCTCTGCCAAGTCAGTTCTCTTTTCAGGCGCTCACTCTGGCTTCCTGAGAAATGGTATAAGTGGTGGAAACTACAGCCTCTCCTACTCCAAGGTTCACCCCTTTGATCACAGTACGCCTTCAGAAACCCCAAGGTCCAGCGGGGAGCAAGTGTGCGCGTGCGCGTGTCTGTGTGTCCGCCTGTGTGCGTCTCCTGCCTGCCCACCCTGCTGCCTAGTAGAAATGCAAGCTGGGTTTGGGAAAACATGACATCAAATTGGCATGCCCTCAAGGAAAACAGACTGCTCATTCCAGTAAATAAGAACAGTAATAACAACACAAACTATGTTTTGAATTATCCTTTGATGTTTATTACTTATATCCCTGGTCTCTCTTAATACCAACCTCTGCGGCTCAGCTTTTTGGAACATTATTTTTCCATTAGGACAATATTATTAAGGTAAAGTGTTCAGCTCAACCCACAAAAGCTCACAGAATAGTGACATGCCTCAAGCTGTCCTTCCCACTCTCCCCTCAGCAACATCCTTCAACCTCTTCCAGAGTCACAATCTATGTACAGAGATGTGTGTTTTACAAAGCAAACGCATCACAGAAGATATATTGCCCCTGCCTCTTCTTTCTCTGAATAAGTGCTCTTCAAGTCCACTGGAATAGCTGTCAGAACTTAGGATGAGGGCCACAGAGTATCCCACTGTACGGGCGGACCTCCTGTATTCAATCACTTCCGTTCACATAGGTGCTCATTCTCATTCCAGTGTTTCATATTCATAGACAATGACAGAGTAAACATCCATGAATATTCATCTTTAAAAACAAGAATTTTGCTTCTGTTAATCTGAGGGTTGCTAGGTTGAAAGGTTTTCCTGTTTTTTATTTTAATAGATCACAACAAAAACAGCGAGTACTATCATTTCAAATGAAGCGTTTCTGAGTCAAAGAACTGTGCTATCTTTTTTTTTTCTTTTGGGCGTGACATTTTAAAATATATATGTATATACATATACAAAATTGCTGGGCATGGTGGTGTATGACTGTAACCCCAGCTCTCTGGGAAGCTGAGGCAGGAAGATTAAAAATCAGAGCATCCATCCGGGGCCATTTAGTGACTTAGTGAGATCATGTCTCAAAATTTAAAACTACACAAAAGAGCTGGGAGGTGACTCAGTGCAAAAGCCCTAGGCTCGATCCTCCATACAAGAAAGAAAAAATTATAAAATGAATGCTAGACCTGGCAAGCACAGGGTCCTGAGTCAAAAAAAAAAAAAAAAAAAAGAATGCTGGATAAAAAGTATCCATGATCCATATATATACGACAACTTATGTCTCAATGGGGGAAAATACAAAGCTTATAGAGCAATATTAAACAAACACCCAAACAGTCAAGTTGCATGCCAGGTTCATAGATTGAAAGGCAAATGATTCAAAGACATCACTGTCATCTGAAGTGTTCTTAGACACCTCATACCCCCAGGCTGAGTTCCATTGTGCTTGGTGTCCCCACCCTTCCCCCTCTTCTCCGGTAGGAGCCACACCCAGCTCCAGAGGGGAGTTGCCGCAGCCAGGCAGCGCAAAGACCTTCACCTAGCTCCTCCCTCTTTCAAGTGCAGTGAATCCCTAAGGCCTAGGGTCACCCTGTTGCAGTGAGCAGGAGATGGGCAAACGAGGGAATAAGGGCCAGAGGATAAGAAGCCTCCGGAGTGGTGGGGGAACTGGGGTGCTGCAGGTCTCAATGAAGAGCTCAAGACATAAGGGACGGACACTCAGACACTTCTTCTAAAGGAAAGATGGAGTGATGAATGGGGAGGTTGGGAAAGAGCAAAAGGAAAAAGTGGAGTCTGCTGTGCCCCTCCCTCTCTGGTGGCACAGTGGCTGAAGCTCCATCAGAAGACACTCGAGATGGTCCCCTTTCGTGGCACACTGTGCCGCCACCCCACCACTGCTTCTTCATCTCATGAGGGTTTAGACCCGTGGGTCCTCACTCAAGCATCACCAGCAACCCCTGGAAGGCACGCGGCAAGGGCAAGGGCCAGGGAGGAGTGGATGGACACCGGAAACAGGAGATGCGCTTGCTGAAAGACGACCCTGCAAGCCTAAGCACACTTCCGCACCCCGCGCTTCCAGCAGCAGACTGCAACTCTACCAGCATCTGTCCAGCCAGCACAAGATGAGACCCGCCTGAATAACAAACAAGAATCAATCTGCCAGCACCAAACTATCTCTATGTTATTGTAATGAGATGCATTTACATTTTCATTTTACAACTTCTAGCCACTCTTTGTAGCTTATAAAAAAGCAGACTTTTTCTGATAATGTAAAGGTCGCCTCTGAGGCTCCAGGCAAGTCAGCGTCACCCACCATGTAAGGCCACTATGCCTTCATTTTACAGCTTAAAATCAATTCAGAAAGATCAAAAGCTTATAATTCTACTGCCCTATTTTCCTTTGCTAATCCACTAACAAGCCCCAGGGCAAAAATGTTCTGCATCATTTGTCAAAAGCTACTACATCTAAATAGAGAATTTAAAAAATATATATATATACCTTGTGAATGTGCCAAGTTTACCTTGTAAATAAGCACCAAAGACATTTTCAAATCTCTCAACAATCTAACTTGCCCAACAATTTTTACAATGGCAATTGCAAAGTGTGTGCGTGTGCGCGTGTGCGTGTGCGTGTGCGTGTGCGTGTGTGTGTGTGACAGAGAAAGAGGGAGAAAGGGAGAGGGAGAGAGAGAGATGGAGGGAGAGGGAGAGGGAAAGAGAGGGAAAGAGGAAGAGAGAGAAAGGAAGGGAGACGGAGAGAGGGAGAGAGAGGAGAAGGTAGAAAGGAGAAGGGAAGAGGGAGGAGAGAGGAGACGGAGAGAGAGAAAGGAGAAAGGAGAGGGGAGAGGAGAGAGGGGAGAGAGTCTTCACTTTCTATGTAGCACAATACACTAAAAAAACTGAGCAAGTGGGCAATTGGCTATTTCTAATGGGCACGTGTTAGCTACCACAATGCCCTGCAAAACAAATAAGCCACCCATTCACTGTACTTTGATTTCATATTGCCTTAACTTTTTCAAACCACTGAAAGGGTTCTAGTTTGTGCCAGGCTTGGTGCTGGTGTTCATTAGCAAAGCTCTCCCTGGTGTTCTCTATTTACACCTTTCCCAATTCAACCCTGAGGCAAGAGTCACCAGACTCATTCCACAGATAAGCAACTGAGCCTGCAGCTCAGTGTCTTACTTAAGGCACGAACTTTTGTGACTCTTCTGTGGAGAGGTAGCTCAGCAGCCTAAGCACCTAGCTGGCAAGCACAAGGTCCTGAGTTCATCCCTGGTATCAAAAAAAAAAAAAAAAAAGTGACTTTTCTGTCATATAAAATATAGGACTGAAAAAAAATCAGTAAGTTCATTACCAAAAAATTTTATTTCTGATGTCCCTTAAATACTGAAGTAGTATTGGATGAGTATGATAGGAAAAAATTACATATTTAATACTGTTTAATAGAGAATTCAGAATTTTCCCTTATGTTTTTTTCTTTTTTCTTTTGGTGGTACCAGGGATCAAACTCAGGACCTTGAGCTTGCCAGGCAATCACTTATTCCACTGAGCTATCTCCCCAGCCCCCCTTAAATTTTTTCATTCTTGTTTATGTTTGGTCTTTGCAATTTTTTTTTTAAAGTTTACTTTAAGGCCATGATTGTCTGTCTCTTTATACAAAAGAAATCTTACCAGGAATCTTAGTAAGGAATCATGGACCCAGAAGAGCAGTGACCAGAATTCAAAACTGTATGCAGATGAGAAAGGATATCCCGAGAACAAAAAGCAGCAACCAATTCTCTGCCCCTTGGCAGAATGTTCTTCCATACATGTTAACAAAATCAGAAGCTGTGTTTTGCTTTAGAGGAAAGATAAACCAATACACCTCCCTCCTACTCTTTAAACTCAGCTCAGTGTGGCAGGAAGGGTTTCCTACAATCTGAAGAATCAAATTGATAGTAAATAAATGACACTCGCCACAGCTAAGATCCAGGTCACTACGGCTCCAACACAGGCACTGAGATCCTGCCTTGGCCGCTTACCAAATGCAGGTTGTTTCAAGTTCTCTTAGCATCATAAATGTTAGGAATAATAATATATTGAGTCATTAACCGAAGATACCAGCCAGAAAAGATTACAGAGTGCCCCAAAGACAAAAAGTACATTGATAATGTTCCCTTCAACTTGTTGAAGAGATGAATGTATAATATGGGAAAGAGTCTAAGATAAGTTATTTCTTCCAAAAGCTATTAAGTAGATAAAATATCCTTCAGGATTAAGACAGGTGAAAGCCTCAAAAGTTTAAGACCCAAGAGTGAGAACTCTTATGAGGGAACACACGGTGGCTGCTTAACAAAATAACACTTTCAAATGAAAACATTCATCCCTTGCACTTAATTTTGTACCACAAACATAACCAATATTTTTGCCCAAACCAAAAGATTTACCAATGTGGCTAATTTAGCAGGACACAAAGTATATAACAGTCATCCAAAGCTTGAAATTTGAGCATATTCCTGAAATTTGAGGATATTCTTCTACTGTGCTCCTATGTGGGCTTGAAGTAACCTTAGACTTAAGCTGGCACTTTTCACTCAATGCCTTAGTTTCTTATGCCAACAAAACTTCCCAGTGGGGCTGGGGTACAGCACCTTTTCACAGGGCTTATCATGGGACTGGGGGTCGGGGGGAGGCGGGAACATGGTATGCCCATAACATGGAATCACTCTATAACTAAAAGCAATTAAGCACTGATATAAATGCCACGACCTGGGTGAACCTTGAAAAAATGCTAAGAGAAAACAGTCAATCATAAAAGACCACATATTACATGATCCCATTTATAGACAAACCTACAGGTACAGAGAGCTGGTTAATCAGTGGTTCCTGGACAGAAGCATGGAGCAGGAGAAGAATGCTAGTAACTTTATACGGTGATAGAAAATTTTCCAACGCTATGACCATGACTGTACAACTGTACACTTACTAAAAACCGTATGAATGGTATTCTCTAAACACGTGAACTATACAGGCGTTTTTGAATTTCTGTAGTCCACACGCCACAACACATTGGCTTCTGGTTTCCCATAAAGCCCTGGGTAAGCTATCTCTAGATTATCTGCAATGTGCTATGAAGGCCCTTCTTTCAGAAATGCATGCTAAAATACTTAATAGTTGAAGTCATGCTATCTGGAACTTGCCTCAAAATAATACAGCGCGGGGGTAAGAAGGGGCGGTGGTATCCAATCTAAAGTAGCCAGATCTTGACAGCTACTGAAGCTGGAGATAGCTAAAAGGGGGAAGTCATTACATGCTGCTTTCTACATTTGCTGAGATGTTAAAATGTTTATAATGAAATGTTAGAAGTGGGAGGAGGTTCTTCAAGATGTCCTAGTCACTTCCACACTGTCTCTCCATGCTAGAAACATTTTCTTTTTTATAATTTTTAACATTTTCTTTTTAAAACAATACACACATTGAAACATTTACACATAAAAGAATGTGATGTCTGAGACTTACTTCAAAATAATAAAGGAATTTAATCTGAAAAATGAACCAGAGAGCATGGAGGATCTAATTCCTACCCTGCTTGAAATACCTACACTTCTGGCATGTATGAGAACACACAGGACCAGCAGAGCCCAGAATGGCAGTACAGACAAAACCATGGTTAACTTGGAATGGAAGGTATGTGTGGGTTCACTGCGCAACATTGGTATAAACCTAAATTTTTTCCACAATAAAGTGTTTTTAAAAACTCCTCACCGATTAAGTTCATCAAGAGAACCTTGGTGCCTAAACTCATTACACAGTTCAGGTTGGCCTTAAACAACTCACTAGTATGTAGCCCAGACTGACCTTGAACTCATGGTGATCCTCCCGCCTCAACTTCCACAGTGCTGGGATTATAGCTTTGCCCTACCACACCCAACATAACTTTGCCAATTCTGGTGTTAACCTCAGAACAAGTCACAGAAAAGTTAAGAGTCACCTAGAGTCACAGGGTTGCATATAGATACAGCTTTGCCATTCCAAACTCTGATTCCTTCCCTGCTCTGGTTTGTCAGGCCTGGGGACAAAGCTATGCCTGCCAGGGAGCTCAGGGACAAGCCTTCACTCTCTGGTTGACAGCCTTCATTTTATATCTCATCAAAAGTCAGGCTTAACTGACATCTAAGTGCATTTGTTTACCTTTGAAATAATTCACAAGAGTAAAATGATCTGAGTTTATTTTAGAAGAGAAAAATTGTTTATGATAACTCTAAACTATCTTTGAAAAAAAAACAGTAATTATGATTTTACAGAGAACAAACCTTAAAAACATATACATGAGACTCTGGCATGTGATATTTACAGAAACTAAAATGTAGTCAGGTAAGTGGAGGAGACAGCATAATGGATGTTAGTCCTAGCCTGTCTGCAATACCAATCCTTCGGGGCTTTTCCCAGAACTGGGAGGACAGAAGTGTTGTCCAGGGACAAGGTCCCCAGGGTGAGACTTTGTCTACCTGATGCACACCTTGTGAGCTTCATTCACCTGGCATAGGAAGTACCCCAACAGGATTATCCAACATGCAAGTATTTCAAAAGCAGCATAACTGGCACTAGTCTCAGGATAAAATTCCAGGTTAGGCCTGAGGAACCCAATGCTATTCAAACATCACAATAGGTTCAATTATTCTTCCTACAATCTTAAAATTCCATCTTGAACCGGGGTATGTGTGAATCTGCAAAAGCAGTTTCTCCCCAACGCACACTCGATACAGATCCTAGTAAAAAACCATGAGCACCGCCAGACTTTTAGATTTTATTACTTTGTAGAAAGATCATTTACTTCATTCATCTCCCACAATCATTCCATGAAGCTGTGCTTCTGGATCACTCAACCCTTGGCAACTTCAAGGGGTTGGATGCCTTGCAAGAGAAACCGTTAGGAGGCCGAGACAAGCAGCCATTCAGGGTCCACAGACGCTTGCTGATTGGCAGCAGCCTCCAGGGTCAGCCTGCCCAACTGGACAAAGGGGCAGGACGGGCTCCTGGAGCAGGGCTGACATCTCTGGGTAGCTGCCCAGCAGTCGCTGGAGCCCTACCAAGCTCACCCATAATGACAGGTTCTGTTTCTAGAGACTCAGATTCTGCCCAGCAGCCTACAAGGCCCCAGGAACTCACTGGGGGTGGGGTCGAAGGTCCTTTAATGAAGAGGTGCAAGCAGGCAGTTACTTACACACCCTTCTCATTACTGCTGAACCCTGCCCCAAATACAGCCGCGCCAGCCAACCGCATACACCTCTCATTCATTTGTGTTTTAAAGAGGAATTAAAACAAGCGACGGCCCCAGTCCACCTGTCGGTCCAGCCACCCCACAAATACACCTCCCATTTGCCAGGCACTGTTGATAACCTCAGGGGACAAATAGACCCAAACCCCGGCCTCCCTATTGAGCTGACTTTGTCAGCACAGTAAGTACCCAAAAGCCAAAAAAGTTTTTCATCATCTTCCTTCGCTTTCACGCCGTGTGCCCCCATCCGTCCGTCTCCCCAAGCGCTGGATATGTTTGTTTTACAATATTAGCTTGCCAAGGACAATAAAATCCTTTAGCCTGAGAAGAACGTACCAGGTGCAACCCAATTCCCTGCAACTTGACTGACCGAGCATGTTTCTCCACTCTCCACGCTCCGCAAACTTTAAGGGGCCTGCGGGCCTGGGGTCTCCAACTCCACTCCGGGCCAACCCAGGAACGCGGGGAGGGGTGTCCTGGTCACAGTGCCCCAACCCCGGGTGGCCTTGCCCGGCAAGGGATCGCGCGCGGGTTACTCACCGAGGAGCCGGCCCAGAACGGGCAGGAGTTCTTCACCTGAGGCGAGCTGCTCAGCGACAGCGCCCCGAAACTGAGCGCCACCATGCAGCAGCCCAGGATCAGCTGCAGCAGCCCGAGCGACAGCAGCGGGCGGGCGGGCAGCAGCGCGGAGCCCGGGGCGGCGGCGGCGGCGGCGGCGGCAGCG